CACCCAGTCGTGGGGATTCGAACTGCCGACCTTCCGATTGGCAAGCCCGAGGCTTAGTGATTTAGACCACAGCACCACCCGTGTCCCTTATAAATATATAAGGACAATATAGTCAGCAGAGCAAGAGAGCAGCCCAGAGTTGCAGCACCTTGGACAGCTCCAGTTCTAGATCCAACCTGCTCAACTGAGCTATGTATGTATTCCCGCTGGGTCTCACTAGGAGTGGAGAGACTTGAAAGGATAGGTAACCTCTGACAGGGGTAGACCGGAAGCTTTGTACAACAGCCTGTCTGCTTTGTATCAGCAACACTGCACCTGCTTTTGCCTTGGAGCATTCATAACAGAAGCGCAAGCAGACTCAGAGGACCTATTTCTGCAGGGCTGAGCTGCAACCCAGACTTTTGGTAACCCTGATCTGTATTGGGTGCTTTCTAACCAAAGCCATCTCTTAGCAGCCATCCCTTCTGTCGCCCTTTTATCAGCAGAGCCAGCCTGCCAGATCTCAGAGACGACAATGGCATGCGTTGGAAGGACAAATCTACACAAAGGGTTATAGATTGTATCATTCAGATTAAACTATTGGAGGAAAGCTTCCGTCAACAAAGTCCCCTAAAGGGGAGTTTGTGAAATGACCTTCCTTCACTCTCAAAAAAAAGTGCTCGAATTTATCCTTTGCATTATAATCAATCCACCGTTTGGTGCAATTAACTGAGCACCTTATTTGAATTAGTTTTTTGGACAGGACCGTGGGGCACAACTCACTGTACAAGCCCGACTGAAATGAAAGGGGGAGCGTTTTCAAAAGTCTTAAGAGCAGTTCCACACATTGCATAGAATGAAGGGACTGGATTGTGGACGGCACACCTTCAGAACGCTGGTTTTTGAGTGGCTTATTAAATGCTCCCTACGAGTTTCCAGCATGTCGTGAATTAGCATATCAAGAACATAAGTACAAAGGGGAGCCTACAGGATCAGGCCAGTGTCTTGTCCAGTATCCTGTTCTCATAGAGGCCAACCAGATGCCGGTGGGAAGCCTGCAAGCTGGACATGAGTGCAACACATCACTCTGCCCACTGGCAATGCTCAGCAGCTGGTATTCAGAGACATAACACCTCAGACTTTGCCATCGTGGCTAGTGGCCATGAGACAAATGTCTTTCCTACTTTTCTCTAATCCTCTTTTAAGTGGGCCTCTCCATGGGAGCAGATTCATGCATGAGGCAGCAACCTTTTCGATAGCAGATTGAGACCTTCGTAATGGGTATTCTATGGGATGTGGGTGGTGCTGTGGTCGAAACCACTAAGCCTCTTGGGCTTGCCAATCAGAAGGTTGGCGGTTCAAATCCCCATGATGGGGTGAGCTCCTGTTGCTCAGTCCCAGCTCCTGACAGCCTAGCAGTTCAAAAGCACACCAGCACAAGTAGATAAATAGGTACTGCTGCGGTGGGAAGGTAAACGGCATTTCCGTGCGCTCTGGTTTCCGTCACGAAGCAGTATAGTCCTGCTGGCCACATGACCTGGAAAGCTGTCTGTGGACAAACGCTGGCTCCCTTGGCCTGAAAGTAAGATGAGCGCCACGCCCCATAGTTGCCTTTGACTGAACTTAACCATCTACAGATCCTTTTCCTTTTTACCATTGGGTATTCTGTAGTTCTCCAGCTTTTTTCTGATTTACAGGGCAAGGAATAAACGTTCTGATCACTTTGACGGCTTTTGCTTTGTTGGTTTTACTTCTGTGCTTTTTATAGTTAATAGGATAACTTTTATTACAAGTATCTTTGGATATCCTTGTAATAGAAAGGTGACATGCAACTATTTTAAATGAATGCAAAATAATCCAGTGCATTGCTTACACTGTGTGTGAGTGTCTGTGAGAGAGAATGCAGGTAGTTTTCCAGGTTTTGGCTAGAGCACCTGTTTTCTTTCATTCTGGCAGAAGACAAGCTTCTTGGCATTAATGCAGCCTCTAGCTTTTGCCATGTATAAGAATCTCACATATTTTAATCAATGTACTTGGAAGCTTAGCCATGCCTTAGTGAATAGGATCACTAACTGTATAATTACAATAATGATCAGTACTTAAGTGGATTAGCACCAGTCTGTTATTGGTAGCAGCATGGAAGACTGAAAACATCATTTGGAAGCAGTTGGGGCGTTAATTGTGCCAGAGGGATCTTTTTGCCTGTTGCCCCTTGGCAAAGAGGTGGGGAAGCAACCCATAAAGAAAAAGAAGTAGGTTAAATGGACGACACAATAGGTTTATTGCTTCTTTTGCATTCCCAGAAGCTCGTGGATAAGGAATGCATTGCAATGTTGTTGGTATCATTAATTAACACGGTTACAGATACGGCGTTGAGCAGAAGCTCTCATCATTTGTATGCCCGGAATTATCCATTAAGCATTTTGTAGACTATAATCATGAATGTTTATCTATGATGCAAAGTAAATATGGCACTGAAAGATGGACTGAACCAAAATCTAATGCTTATAAAAACATTCCTTTGTCCTGACCCTGACTTGCAGGTAGCAGCAGCTATGGTATAGCAAGAAAGGGAATATAGGGGAATATTGCTCCAGGTGGTGGTTGCTGTTTTTTAAGCAGGAGGTATGACATCATCTGCTTTATTGCTAAGGTATTTGACAGACCCTCCTTGCACTTGGGCAAGTGACAGAGGTGGAAAGGAGACTGTTGTGTTTTCCAATAGTTTGAGATGAGCCCAAGGAAAGTCAGAGAATATGGCTAATAATCAAGCATAGACTGCATACTTTCCCCCCTTTTCTTTGATGAGGTTACTACATCATGCTAGCACTTTACATGGTACGACTTCTTTACCAGATTTGCTTTTCTTCCTTTATTCTTTTGATGAAATATTTCTATTTAATTACTGAAATAAGATACAGTGGTACCTCGGGTTACAGACGCTTCAGGTTACAGACTCCACTAACCCAGAAATAGTACCTCGGGTTAAGAACTTTGCTTCAGGATGAGAACAGAAATTGCGTGGTGATGGCGCAGCGGCAGTGGGAGGCTCCATTAGCTAAAGTGGTACCTCAGGTTAAGAACAGTTTCAGGTTAAGAACAGACCTCCACAACGAATTAAGTTCTTAAACCGAGGTACCACTGTATAGCAGAATGGGGAAAAATATGGTTAATGTCCTTTGTATACACTTGGACAATAATTCACAAATTGCTAAATTAACATTCCTAAATTAATGGGAGTTAGAGTTTGCATTTCAGTTGACTGAAGATCTCTTGTGAAAGCTCAATGTGCTTTGCAAGTTGATTTTATTCTACAGTATAAACGTCTATTCTATGACAGCCAGCTGCTCTTGCTTTGATCCCAATGAACTGGGCATTATGCTGTACACTGCTGCTTTAGCAGGGGGTATGTATTTATAGAGCAACACAACTGCCTGCATTTTTTGACTCTCCATGATGCGCTCCTGCACTGCATATGTGCCGTAACATCAGGGGTGGTGAACCGAATCTGGCCAGCATACTTGATGCTCAGCTACCTCATCCCCTGCAGGTCATATGGGTGGGCCACAGCTTGAGCCATGCCTGCAGAGGAAAGTCCTTTGCACCACCAGCATCAATTCAGCTGGTGCTTATGGGTAGCCCCACTTTGCTGCAAGTGAATATCCCAATGGGCTTCCTGTAAGGAAGTAGGGAACTCTGTAGTGTAGCCAATCCCAGTGGGTTTCCTGTAAATGCTGATTGGTTGTAGTAGCGAATACCTGAGAACTGAGCAATTATGGGTAGCCTGGCAGAGGCATAGGAAGTCAAGAAGCCCAGTGCACCAGGTATAGGACCCATCAGCAGAGAGGAAAGGCTGAAGAAGAAGGAGGAGGAGGAGGAGGAGGAGGAGGAGGAGGAGGAGGAGGAGTTTGGATTTGATATCCCACTTTATCACTACCCGAAGGAGTTTCAAAGCGGCTAACAATCTCCTTTCCCTTCCTTCCCCACAACAAACACTCTGTGAGGTGAGTGAGGCTGAGAGACTTCAGAGAAGTGTGACTAGCCCAAGGTCACCCAGCAGCTGCATGTGGAGGAGCGGGGAAGCAAACCCGGTTCCCCAGATTACGAGTCCAGTGCTCTTAACCACTACACCACACTGGGCATGATAGCAAGACCCTGGATGGGACTTTGCTAAAGAGGGTGAATCCAGGGTGGGTATGCCCACCTCCCAAAATAATGAAAAGGCTACAAGAACCATCTTTAGCCTGGGACCTGACCACTCATGGGTTGTGCCTGGAGCACTGTAGCTTGCAATTACAACAATGAGGTCCTTGGATACACTGTGAGATGAAGCACTTGAAGAGACTGTGTTTGATTGATTTTCCATTCACTGAGGGCTGGTTTCTGGTTGTATGCACCCCCTGTTAGAAAGAAAATAGGCCGCTTAATCAGGAGGTCTCTTCTCGCCAGCTGCCGTTGCAGGCACCCTCCAAAGGGAGATGAGCAAAATCCAAAAGACAATACAAAGTAAGTGCTGTTTTCCTGCTAAGCTAATCAGTTCTGTCTGAGGATGAAGGGATGTGTGCCAGCTGAAAATCAATGCCCTAAATCAACTTGGTGCGCGCCTGAGCACCGCCAAAGTGTCAGCTGCTAACAAGGGAATAAAGGAAACTGTTATTGGATACTTAGGACTCTTTTGTAAGTGCATGCGTAAAATAACATATTTAATTTAATGCAAAGTTATAAAGCTAATTGGGCTTTATGGGCATTTCATCAGGGAAGCCAAGAGCAAGTTGCCTCCTCCCTCCCCTCCAACAACTGTTTAATCCTTCCTGGATTGCAGATCGTCCTTTTCAGGCATTTGTCTGTAACTTACAAGCACAATTTTTGGCGGCTTTTCCTTCTGTGACAGAGGCTTTGGGGAGGGGAAGTTCCTCCCCTCTGCAGCCTGTGGCTTCATAGGAACATAGGAAGCTGTCTTGGTGGTCCATTTAGCTCACTACTGTCCACATGATGGGCAAAGGATCTCCAGGGTTTCAGGCAGGGGATCCCTAGGATTGAACCAGAGACCTTCTTTGTGCAAGGCAGATGCTCCACCACTGAGCTTACTGCCCCTAGCATGCAATTCTTCTCCCTGCCTGTCTAATTCCCCACATTTCCTTCTCCTCTCAGACAGGACTCCAACTGGTCTGTTCCACTTTACCTCTTTCCTCTCAACCTCTCAGGTCGCAACCTTCATTTCTTAAGCCCCACAATCCCCCCATGACATTTGCAGTCTCCTGTTCTCCTTGGCTGTGTTCACACCATACACTTAAAGCACAGGTGGCGCTGTGGTCTAAACCACTGAGCCCCTTGGGCTTGCTGATCAGAAGGTTGGTGGTTTGAATCCCCGCAATGGGGTGAGCTCCCATTGCTCTGTCCCAGCTCCTGCCAACCTAGCAGTTCGAAAGCACATCAAAGTGCAAGTAGATAAATAGGAAGGTAAACGGTGTTTCCATGCACTCTGGCTTCCATCACAGTGTTCCATTGTGCCAGAAGCAGTATAGTCATGCTAGCCACATGACCCAGAAAGCTGTCTGTGGACAAACACTGGCTCCCTCAGCCTGAAAGCGAGATGAGTGCCGCAAGCCCATAGTCCCCTTTGACTGGACTTAACCATCATGGGGTCCTTTACCTTTTACATTTTGAAACACACATGCACCTTGCAAGAGTTTTGGGGGCTGTAGTGCACCCCCTCACCAAACTGCAGTTCCCCAAACCCTTAACAAACTGCCGCTCTTGGGATTCTTTATGGGGGGAGCCATGTGTTTCAAATGTGCTTTAAATAGATAGTGTGTATGCAGAACTAGATGCTGTTTCTTCCATTTCCCCTCTCCCTTGGCCTGTCTGCCCAGCATGCACCTGCTAGGATCTGAGCAGTTCAATGGGGTCAGAGCTCCCTCCCATTATATCAGAATTGGTTTTAGATGTTGTAATTGTTTTTATCTCTTGTGTGTTTGCAATCCTTGGCTCCTTTAGGAGAAGGAGGGGGGGTGGAATAGAAATTTAAATAATAATAGAAGTCAGGGTCATACAGTGATGCTGATTGGCAGGAGATTCCAAACAGACCAAAAAGAAAAGGAAAAAGGAGCATTTCTTCATGTAATTAATGTCTGCAATTCACACCCAAAATGTGGGGGTGGCCACTGACTGCTTTAAGGAGGATTAGTCTCTTTCCAGATGGGGGCTTAATATTACAAATGGGCCCTTCAGATATCATAAACATTGTCAACAGCTTTGAAAACAAACAAACCCTCGCCTGGTTTTCTGTGGGAAGCAAAAATCCAGATTAAATTGAGGGTATGGGGATTTGGGCTGGCAGTTTAAGGCCAATGGTGCCAGAATAAACCCTTGTCTGGAAGCACCACCAACTGATAGAAAAGAAGTCAAGGTTTTCTAGGCATGACCACTCAGAGAGAGTCCTGCTTGCTTCCAGCTCAATTCTACGCAGAGTAGATCAAGTTAGGTTGTTGCAGTCACTCAGCAGTTTATTCAGTTTCCCTGATGTCTCCCTAATTGTTAATTTCCGCATTATATTCGGACTTTCACACGCAGTAAAAGCCACTTCCATAAAGTTAACAGAATTATGTGTGTGTTTAGCACTCATTTCCATGTTATTTGATTTGAGGGGGAAATCAATTTGCAGCCTTCTTAACAGGGAAAATCATGGGAGCAAAGTGGCAAAATTTGAGGTAGCTTTCCTGCTGTTTCTGTGGAGAAATCATGGGGGAACATAAACAGGCGTGTGTGGAAAGGGTGAGGGACTAGCAGTGTTGTTCAATGATGTTCATTGTTGTGTCACACCATGTCCACTGCTGTTAACAAAATTTTGTGTGCTGTGCTGGCATATCGGTCCAAAAGCCATAGTTCCATGGCCAACAGGTACTGCAGTGAGAATGGAACATTAGAAAACACAACAAAAGCGCTAACATTTTAACCAGGAAAACTAACACACAGTATTCCCCATGTCTTGATGCACTTTTAGTCATGTCCATTAATGTCAGTGAGTCTACTCTGCAATCCAGCTCTATGCTTTTGAGTTCTAGCTTCCTGGAGCCACAGCAGGAGAGGGCTATTGCCTTAAAGTCCTGCTTGTAGACATCCGATGGGCACTTGGTTGGCCAATGAGGGGAAGAGGATGGGATGGAGCTTTGTTTTGATCCAGCAGGGCTCTTCTTTGGTCCTTATCCATGGACAGCAGGAAGCACAGCAAAGCTGACTTGTCCTTCTCATGCAGATCATCTCTATGATCTTTGGACCACAGAGATTCCCGCAGCACTTGAGTTTCAGCAACAGGATAGCTCCTTTTGTGTGCCTAACTTTTGCATCCTCCGTGTGTGTGTGTGTGTCCTTTCCAATGGAAAGATGGGGGAATTAAAAAAGGAATCCCAAGCTCTCTCTGGTTGCAATAAGTCTACTTCAGTCTATCACCAGAGGCTGCTAGCAGCATCAGATTAGCCTGATTTCCCCATCTTTCAAAAGCGTTGCTTTTTTATTATTATGTTTTACTGCATGGTGTGAGGTTTCTTTATAAAACTGCCCACAAGCAAGCCATCCGGTTCTCGTTGCTTATTTACACCCATCCCAAATCACCCGCAAAGCGTTGCCAGCCTTGCAATGGCTAACTCTGACAGACAGTGTTTCAGAGAAGAGCTGTTAAAAAAAAAAGTTTAGAAAGCAGCATAAGTGCCAGCAGCTCAGAAAATAAGCTAAAACTCATCTCCAGAAAGTGATTGGACTGTGTTAACATTCAAGGGGGACGTTGACAGCACAATGGAAAAGGACCGAGATGCACAACCCCCATTATTATCACTGATGGGAGTCGCATGTCAGGTGTTGTTCCTCCCCCCCAGCGCCAACCTTCTTCCCAGGGTGTGCTGAGTGCCACAAATCTTCAGCCATCTGAACGAACGAGAGAAAGAAAATACCTGCAACAGAGGACTAAGGCTAGGGCTTCCTCGGCAGGGGTTCAGAAGTTGGGGGCATGCCTCTCCTCCCCCCGTCGCTGTCTTCACTTCCACCCTAACTAACCTTGGGTTGGGCATAGCAGTCTTGAGCCATGGACTGTAGCAGCTAGACCCATGTCCCTTAAAGGTCTGCCCTGCCCCTTTGGTGGCTTGGTGAAGGAGGATGGCTTGCTGCAGCACCACCAAGGTGGATGGCCAGATGGTGGTGGCTACTACAGGGTGTTGGGTCCCTGATCCTATAAAGAAAAAAGAGAAGTCTAAACAGTGGTCCCAGTGCAAGTAACTAGCTCATACAGAACTCTTTCTATGCAGTTGTGGGCCATGGGGAAATGTTCATCTTTGGCTTCCATGCAGCTGAGAGATGCCTGGTTCCCTCCACAGCCACGTCTCCCTTCTAACAGCCCCAAGCCATGGTGATGGCCACTGTCTGTTCCTCCCCCTTCCCCAACAGCCCCAGCAGTGCAACCATCTCAGCTTTTCCCAAGAAGGCTGTCAAAGCAGTGTCAACAGAGGCACTCTCCAGGGTTGTCTCTCTGCATGGTGCCTCACACGGAGGAGGGATCCTACATCATGACGGTGGATCCTTCCTCAGAGTGAGGTGCTGGGGGCACAGATGGACTTGGAGAACCTCAGGTGATGGAGTGCCAAGGGTGCTTTGCTGCGGTAAACTGAACTTTTCTCACTCTCTTTGCTGCTCCACAGCCTCAGCTACCAGGCACACCCTTTTGCATAAGTAGGATGGGGTGGCTTAAACCAGGCATAGGCAAACTCCGGCCCTCCAGATGTTTGGGACTACAACTCCCATCATCCCTAGCTAACAGGACCAGTGGTCAGGGATGATGTGGATTGTAGTCCCAAACATCTGGAGGGTCGGAGTTTGCCTATGCCTGGCTTAAACAATGGCCCACCCATGAGGCAAGGTGAGGCAAGTGCCTCAGGTGGCAGGATTCACAGGGTCAACAGATCTGCCCACTGTTGCTGACACTGCACTCCCCCCCCTTCCCAGTTTAGAGCTTTATTTCCCCCTTATTCCTGATGTAGGTCTTCACTCACCTCTTCTTCCCTGGCCAGGATGAGGAGCCATTTTGTGGTTCACCTCAGAGGCCAAAATGTCTTGGGCCAGCCCTGGTTGATAGGGCAGTGGACCTGTGGGTGGCAAGCAGCAGGTAACCGTGATCTGCCACCTCTCCTGATATGCTCCTGAAAAGCTCACTCCAGCTCATGGTAGGGTAATCCTGCACTGAGATCAGCAAGCAAAACTTTGTGGATGTCCAGGAATATCACCTGACCTGCTCTGGCTTATCAGTGCAAGGAGATGTGCTTGATTGACATAGCCAGTTCTTATGTAGTTTGACATGAGCTAAATCCCCACCTGGCACCCCTCAGATCCTGTGAACTGGCTATCCATACAGAAGCAAGATTGAATTCAGTACAAGGGTCTCCCGTTCCATATCACTCCTGCTCCTCGAGGGCCAGTTTCCCCACATGCCCATTTCTAGTATTAACAGCTAAAGTCAAGCCATTGTTAGCCTGCCCTCGCCCCTCTTAAATAGATTAGCATGCCACCGCAATCACCTCCTTTTAAGAATGCACCAGCAAAGCCATTTAACATTTTGCCCTTTTAAGAGAATCCAGAAGCAGAATGAGCAGCAAAAGATCAACTCATGGCATAAAGCAGAGGCCAGGAGAGGATTAGGGTTAAATATGCATTATTGCAAAAGTACAAGAGAAGAAGGTCATACCTCCCCCAGTCTGTAGTAGATACAGGATTAAACAGAGAGCCTTTAATCACTAATCACTTACTGTACCTTTCAGAGGCAGTACATAAAAGGCAAACAGCAATGAGTCAGCTCTTGCTGCACAGCCTACAAATCAGTGGGAAGCTCAACAACAGCCGCCAGAGACATGGAGCTTAGGGTATCACTTTTGACTAGCCAAGACCATCAAAGCCCCTTGATTTCTGGGGCAGAGGCAGGTGAGGAGATTGTGACAAGGTCCAAAATAATAATAATAATAATAATAATTTATTATTTATACCCCGCCCATCTGGCTGGGCTTCCCCGGCCACTCTGGGCGGCTTCCAAAAGAATATTAAAATACTATAATACA